TGTTTATTTACAAGAGGCGTGCTTCTGCCTTAGCAAGTGTGTGGACACGAGGCATGACAGGGCTAGCAGTCGAGGTTCGCAAACGGCTGCAGATGCGCATGATGAAACTGTGAAACCTCGTTTTGCAGCACCCCTTGAATGAGACATAAAATAAATTGCAAATGTAGCGAAAATTGCAAACAAGCCTACATGAACACAAAATGGCGGCCTGGAAATTAGACATAAACTCACAGCTTGCAAGTGGCATTGGAGAGCCTGACCATACTTTCGAGGGAGGAACGGAATTTTCAGTCATACATTCAAATCGCTATTGGATAGCGACAGCAGATGCTTTAATAGCCGTCTAAGCTTTTCGAAACGTCAGCACGAAACAAAAACTGTTCTGGTGAGCAGTATTCGGTTCTCAGATTTCCATCTTGGAACTCTTACCTTTTCGAAATTGGCCAATGCTTATATTTCCACCAAACATGATGGCAAAACATCGACAGGTGTTGGTTTAAAAGTTATAAAATCTTGCGATGGTCAGTAAGGCTCGCAATCAGGTCTTTGTGCTTTTCGTAAATTCGAGGCTGGCAACAGAAGCGGTGGCATTTTAACTAGGGCGCAAGAATACGATAGCGATAATGGGGGGGGGGCTGGCTAAGATAGCCCGGAGGATTGGCAAACATGCGAAAAGACGAGTCCCGAGTAATAGCTGACAAAAAGAGATAGAACCAGAGATAGAACCGGAGAGGAAGACGCAACGGGATGTAATATTTGCAGGCCGTACGTTCAGGGTGGAGACGTTGTGGGGCTCAAGACGCGAATCGATACGCACCAGGCCATCTTCCAAACTGTCCGGTCAAAGCTACTAAACACACGGACAGTGTTGGTAGATGTAAGGATAGGACGTGGACGAGTCATTATTTACAGGCCCCCTGTCTAATAAGGAGTGAAATTACCTCCCCAACCCATATTCGGTGCTGGAAGTTAGTTTGGCCAAGGCAATCAGCCGCTCAGGCAGCGCACCGGTAAACACATTTTCCACCACCAATTTCGGTAAGCCAGATGGCCGAGCAATCAGTACATCAACATGCAACACGGGTGATGAGATTTTAACGGGTAACGAGCAGAATGCCGACCATTAAGCAATTAGCGCACCAGAGCGCAATCATCTTCGACGAATGGGGAGCCGTTTTTTGTCATAGATACTTAGCAGCATAGCGACGGCATCCTATAAAAGATACGACACCCTTTGGAGGAATTACCTGTATCTGATTTTGTCTCTGAGGATGGATTCGAGCTGGAATTGAAAAACCTCAGGCAAATAAAGTGCTTGTGCCAGCGATCACGCCCATTGCTTTTTCCTCTCAAAACATACTGCGTAGGAAGGCATTGATTAATAGGACAGTCAACTTCTTGCCACGCCAGCTATCAGCGCCAATGATAGAGGCCCCGCGACTGACAATTTGACCTTATCCTGAAACTTAGTAGGCACGCGGGTGTGTAGGGATCCCACCCACTAAATAACGCTCCCCTCCCAAGGTTAGTGTCCGACCTTCCACTGCCTTCTTTTGTATCTTTGAGGACGAAGTCTCCTGTAGACCCCAAAACATCGGCCGAGTAAATCCCTTACTGGGCAAATAGTATTGCCAGCAAAGACAAGGGAAACTGGAATAGCCATTTCTGGCTTAGTAGCCATCATCAGTCAGTCATACCTAACCCCAAGTGGTGCACCACGCGAAGCTACCTGTCTAGGCTACTAGCCGCTGTGCGGCGATTGGCGGGGCTCGAGGATGAGTCCCAAGGCAGAACGGAACGAGTGTGTGCTGCTAGCGATCGGTAAACGTTCATCAACGAGTGTAAATCCCTTGTGATCGAGGGTGCTCCGCACCCAGGTTGACGAGAGAATGGAAGAACGGTACAAAAAGGATATGCACACAAATGTAGCAGCAGCTCACCTTCTGCACATTTCAACTCTGCAAATGTAGCTCGGGGGATGATGCCAGGGTCGATACAACTAACACGCATGAGCACAGCCATTACGAAGATGAAGAGAAGAGCACCAACCGCGGCGATGGCGGGACTCAATGTCACCGCCAAGTAGCGACAATCGAAGGCAAAGAAGAGCACACTCACACCTACGATGAGGAATACTGTGACGTAGAAGACACCCATCTGCCGACTCATGACACCATGGCCTCGGCAAAAGAAGATGTTGCGCCCAGGGTGTACCTTATAGTAGTAGGTCTCCGGCGGCTGACTGGGGACAGTGTCAGTCCCGCTGAAATCCGTTGGCGGGTCATCGAGGTTCATGTGGAGAGACGACACCCCACTGAAATCACATGTGCTACAACGGAATAAAAGGTGTGGTGATTCAGTAGTAGGAGGTAAAAATGGGGAGGTGAGTGGGATGAGGTACTTAACTATTTAACCCCCCCCCTTCCGCTTAGTACTAGAAAGGTTTGTGGACAGAAAATAATGCTTACTCTTGGAACAGATTGTCGACAAAGGATGGTTAAGCAATGCAGTCCATTCCGTTAGTACTGCTAAGACCAACTAAATTAGCTTACGGTATGCAGCCTCGGGTGGTGCACTACCTCGGGTTGGGTATGACTGGCTGATGACAGCTAATGAGTCAGGAATGGTCATTCCAGTGTTCCTTGTCTTTGCCGACGATGTTCACCTGCTTACACTACTAGCCGCTGTGCGGCTGCTGGCGGGCTCGAGAGGAAGCTCCAATGTAGAACGGGAGGAGTTAATTTCGTTAGCAAACAGTAAGGGTTTATCAATCAGTCAAAATGATGAGAAAAGGGATATCACGCAAATTCGAATCATGTACTTCGAGTCCGCCGCTCCAAAGCTGCACGCGCATGGGTCCTTGTACCGATACAAACTAGAATTCCATGATCTCTATAGGCACAACTATAAGACCACATTAATGGGCGATTTCGAACTGTGTCACAGATGCAAGGATCATTCTAAGATTGAGAGGGAGCCGTGAAATGCACAGTTATGTTAAACCGAAAAGGTTGCGCCAGAGAAGTCATATTCTCTCCTTCCTTTGCATGTGTACATAGCACGACAATAGTTATGTTCGGTCTGACCGACTCCGACGCATGATGATCTACTACCGCGAGTCTAGACAGTTTGATCTACTTCCTCCAGAGACTGGGTACAAATGTCTGAGATCCAAGAAGCCCCCTTCTGTTCTGACGAATTCTCATGAGTACGACTATCGACATCAACGAGGCATCCTATTCTCCAGAAGCGGAGGCTGCCCTCGTTTTGACGGATTATGTTGGGCCAGGTTTGAGTTGACCTCTTTGTGGTCCCCGAGTGGGCAGCGGTGTCGCATCAACAGCAGTAGAATCGAACGCATGTATCAAGAGTCAAAGAAGATCCTCAAAACATTCCCTATGGGTGGCCGATGTTGCTGGAGCAATTACGGATTGCCTCCTTCAAGACAGAGCTAGTGAATATTAGAAACCCTCAGCTTTTGTTCGTATTCTATGTGCATAGTTCAGGCAAAGGAAGAGCGACCGGGCAAAGGCACCACGCACGTTGATCTTAGTCGTGATATAAGCATTTCGAAAAGTCCGTACAAACTTTTTGAAGCATACGAAAACCTTTGATCGGTATTAACTCATTGTCATTTAACAATGATTAGGTACACGCAGAACCTGTGAATAGTTCGTCAGAGAAACATGTAATGACACTGTCGAAGAGGATGGATGGCATAATGTAAACTTTATAAACTCCAGACCGAAGATCAGGAAATTGCGAGAGACTAGTATGAGCCAGAAGTCGAGTATTGATAGAGCAGTAGCAGGTCTTAGTTAAAAGAATAGTTTTCTTCGACATACAGCCGAAGTCCATCATCCGGCATAAGAAATCAGCCGGATCAGAATCAGAGGCTGCAGCGAAAAAAAAATAAAGAAAACAGCTATCGGTTTCTTGTGCGCCGGGGGCATCCGCACACTGTTTTCTTTTTTCGTTTGGCCTCAGTAAAGACGACCGAGGATGAGAATGACCAGTCATTTAACTCGCCTCTCTTATGCGCACTTCAAACAAGCTCGACTTTGGTTCTTCGAATATGTTTCGTAATAGGTGCTATAAACTCACAGTAAAGGAGTACATAGACCGGTCTTTCAATCGCGTAGAATAATTCGTTCAGTCAGCTGATAACCCACCACAGTTTATGGTCAAGGAAGAATCTGTGTGGATTGAGCTAGCTATGGAAACTAGAAGTCACTGTGCACACATACGATAAACACGGTTTTCAACAAAGGAAATTGGCTACCTGGAACTATTAATTACCACTCGTCTAGTAAATACGTCTTCAGGACCATCTTCGACGGACGGTTATGGCAGTTGAAGCTGGGTCTACACAAATCATCTACAAGTGCGCGGTTGAACGTTTACGCTGTCACGAGTATTACCGACACGGAAAAGGATAGAATCGCCAAGCAAGCCACAAGTAAATCTTTGGATTGGTCGATCACTGATATCTTGTCCGAGACAATTTCGTGATAGTACTAGAGAAAGCTGGAAAAGACTGCAGCAAACAGGAAGCAAAGCGTGTGAAACCACATTCTTTGAAAATGGTTACGCAACCATCCTCATCAACCGACAAACAAAAGGATTCGTGAGGCCCAATATATTAAGAAATGTACTTTTGTCGAAACCCGTACTGCACAGCCTTTCCGCAGCCATCAAACACATCTTTACAACGTTTGAGAGTAGATACAAACTCAACGTAAGCACGAGGTGTCACGCCTAGAAACTGTCATTCTCTGTTACGTCTGGTGCAACAATAGACAAAAAAAACTAGGCCAGAGAAAACTATTTAAAGCACGGATAGTCACATAAAAGACAGGTATGATGTTACTTTTCAATTACCAGCTCCTCCGGCCATGTAATTGACCTTATCTGGTAGGAAATCCTAACAAGCGATGATAGGAAGTTACTGAACGCACTGAAATCAATAAAACAGTTTTCAAAAATTTAAATATGCTTTTCGACAGACAAGAATTATCAGCAGTTGTTCGAATACTGATAAGCATAGAAGGCTCAAGTGAAATGTGTTTCCAAGGGGTCTTCGCGGGAAATCTTGCGAACCAATCATGATGTTTTTAGGTCTATTTTTAAAATGGGTGCTTATTGAAAATGCAATATTCTATTGTTTTTACCAGGTTTTGGTGGGTCAATTGACATCCTTGAGGATTTAGGAAAGCTATGAGAAAGAGATTTCGCGACGTACATTACGTTTTAGAAAAGAAAAAGAAATGGAGGTGTTTGAAAAATTCAAAATGTAAAATTCTAAAGAAGTGACAGCTAGAAAAAAGCTCAGTATGAAAATTCTTCTGCAAAAAATTGACTTTTTAGAGCGAGACCATCGTGGCAAAAACTGGAGAAAAAGGATTGTAGGCCAGCCTGCTTCAATATAACAAACATTTGAAGCAGTGCTCCCTTACCGGACAGGATTAAGGAGCAGATTAAATAGGCACGCTCACTTTTAAGGATATCGACCGACCTTTAACGAGTTTCGCAGTATATTACAAGTTATTAGTGGCTTAAGTAGTGAATTTTCAAAAACGCAAAATAACTTATTTTGTTAAGGAACACGAACTCAGTCTCGACCCTTCCACAACATGATTGGAAGTGAGTCTTATGTATAAGCGACATTTAAATCGCCCATAACTGAGGAAGGGGGCAGGGATAAATATAAATTGAAAGCTGAATACATGGACGTAGCTAAAAATGGAAGGTGTGACTCGGATTGAGAGAAATTCATATAGTCTTCGCCGAAGCATCTCGAAATTGTCAATAAATGGGATAACAGGGTGTTCCTCTTGAATGAGGGATAAAAAGTAACCGTATAGCAATTTTACCTTTACGTCATCCCCAATTAGGTGAAATTCTACATCCTTTCTTCAAAGCCTGGTTCATGTGGGGATAAGGATCAGGCTATTTGAGACACAAGTAATCACTGCTGCTGCGACGACGCAGCTGTGACACAGGCAATGAAGAAGCCTGATTTACTTTAAACACTTTTACGTGCACGTCGATTTCTCGAAATCAGTTGCGATTAAGAAGCTATGGCAAAAGCCCTACTGCTCACACAATCGACCCGAGTGGAAATTATTCGAACCATATTGCTAAGAAAATAAACGAGAGGCGAGAAGGAGAGAACAACGGGTCAGTATTTTTTTTTTTTCTTTCCTTTGAGTTTTAGAAAAGAAAACAGAGAACGAAGACCTTCTTGTCAGCACTTTGAAGAATGCAAACTGTTACAGTAAAGTTAAAGAAACCTTTTCTACAAAAATCTCAGGGGTAATAAAGTGTACGTAATATATTCCCATTGAACTCAGTAAAACTAAACGTCAACAAATTTGTTGGAAGAAGGGATGCCGGTTAAGCATAAAAAGGTCCTTGCATGTTTTAATGACAAGCTAAAACGTGTGTAGTGGCCCAACTGCGAGTGCAACGCTCAACCAATCGCCTCCCGAGACTACTGGTAAGTGCGCAGCTGTAGACCGACCCCAACCCGGTCTGACCAATTAGCTCACTGAGTGTGACTCACATAACCTTGCTGGAGGCGCTGCAATGAGTTACGTACTCTGTTACATCGGACCCCGGCCCTCGCGGCTGCGGATGCAAGCTCGTCAGCTACAAACTTTCATTAACCTATTGTGCATTACTTCCGTACGGAATGCAACATTTTTTACCTGGTGCCCCACTTCTTCTCTTCTTCTATGGAACCGGACCCGAAGATCGCAGCGGCTGGGGTCGACCCTATTAACTTAAGCCACTGCGATAGTGTTTCAACCGCATTAGAAAATAAAATAAAGCGGTACGCTAACCGCCGACTTTATGTTCAATACGAGGTAGGCTTGATAACCAGACAAAAGAATACTTCAAAAGAACAACAAAAATATATATGGTCGCAGATTAACCGAAAAACTACAGTAAGCGAACTTAAGAGGCTGTGGGAAGTTCCACCTAGCCCCAGTATACGAAAAATGAGGTAAAATTGTGCATGTCACCGGGTGATAGG